AAATTTATTTCAGCTTTAAATCCCTAGATTGGGCTATAAGCTCCCTGAGGTCAGGAACTGTATTAGCTGAAACTATCTGTCTCCTATAGCACATACCGTAGTGTTCTGTGATGTAGTTAATAGAATGCCAGACTTGGATTCCAGAAAATCTTGCTTCAAATTCCACCTCTGATACTTCCTGTGGCACTTGTACCTGTTTCACAGTTCACTGCTAAGTATTTAAAAAAATATTACAAAAGTCAGCTGCTATGTGAAAGAAGGGTGTGGGCTCAGATTGATTTTCTATAGGTATCTGTTTTTTAGAGTCTCTGCTTGCTTCATTGTAAATCTAAATAACAGATATAATATTTACACTGCCTGTCTCATAGTTTTGTTGTATTGAATGCACTCTTTAAGCCTAAAGTAATGTACTGATTTAAGCTTTAGTCATTATTAGCAATACATTTGAAAAATTATCTTTAGGGTTGTTTTTAGAAAAAGAAGAACTTCAAATATATTAATGTAATTCTATTTGATCTTTAACAAAATACCTAGATATTTCCATGACCCTTAATTGATTTCCAAATTTAAATAATCATTTTTTCACAACATTTTTTTTAGTTTTAGAGTGCTTACAAACAAAAAGTTTTACTTGAATTTGTTCATTAAATAATCTTCTCATTGATATGGTTAGTGGATTTACAGAATAATAGAATAACATTTTGAGCTAGAGTGTCCTTTAAAGTGAGCAGGTTTAGCTTCCTCATATTCAAAAGAAAATGAAAAATAGGCTGTTAGTAATTCAAAGCCTGAAAGAAAGCATCCTACTTAGTCTTGTGGAAAGAGCGTGGATTTGGAAATCAAATGACCTGGGTTTTGAATATGGGCTCTATTACTTAAAAGTTATGTTATAGTAGGCAAATAACTGAACCTTTTTTGAATTTCGTTTTCCTTATTTGTAAAATGTAGATAATAATGCTTGCCCCAGGTATCTCAGAAATATTTTAAGGAAAATATTTTATAATTTCAGTTATTATAAATTGGATTTATTATAATTGTTATTATAATTTTTATTACATATGAAACAAATTCAATTCTGAAAAGTTACTTGATTTCCTTAAGATAACACAACATGTTAATAGTAGGGCTAAACATGAAACCCAGATCTGACTTAAAGTTTAGTACATTTCCCTTATACCAGACTGCCTTCTCTGATGGAGAAGAGCATTACTTGTGGGACTAGTATGAGGCCATAACACTTATCCAGGTGAAAGGTAACGAGTGGGAGATGAAACAGGATAAATGTAAAAGATTGTTGGAGGTAAACTATTTAAGATTTGGTGAAATATTTGGATGTAGGTGGAAAGAGAGAGAAAGGAGTCAAAGAAGACTCCTTTTAAGGATGGGTGATTGGGAAAATAGTGCTATTAGTACAAATAGATAAGTTGGGAGCAATCATCAGATTTGAGGAAGAAAGATGATTCAAATGTGAGATATACTGCTTCTAAAGCCTAGTGGTGTAAACCACAGGACTGGAGTCAAGAAGACTTGAATATAAATTGTTCATCAAGCACTCATGAGCTTTACAACCCTGGGCAAAGTACTTAATCTGTCTCAGCCTCAGTGTCTTGAATGTGCAAAATGGGAATAATAGTAGTGTCTCTATTAAAATGTTTGGAGAATCAAATGAAATTTTATATACACATACACACATATATATAATAAGGTATACATATATATATGTAATATGTATGTAAGTTGTGTGTATGTATATATATATGTAAGGTGCTTTGCTAACCTTAAAGCATTATATAAATGTGAACAATCATTATTTATTATAATTTTATATAAAATTATTTGGAGATGCCTTGATCCTGTATTTTTGGCCTTTTCTTATTACATTCAGTTAATGCATTTAGCAGTCATCATTTAGCAATACATCGTTTGCTTTTGGTCAACAATTTTTATTGATGAAACATCTTGAAGTTTAGTTCTATATGTCTATTTGTGCATTTTGTTATTGTTGTTCAGTCATGTCCAATTCTATGTGACCCCATTTGGGGTTTTCTGGGCAAAGGTACTGGAGTGGTTTGCTATTTTCTTCTCCAGCTCATTTTACAGATGATGAAACTGAGACAAACAGGATCAAGTGACTTGCCTAGGGTCATACAGCTAGTAAGTATATGAAGCTGGATTTGAATTGTAGTCTTCTTGATTCCAGGCCTGGCACTCTAATCACTGTGCCACCTATGTTACTAGTACTTACTCAAATTTTATGTTTTGCTAATGCAGAGGAGTGAATGAAGTGATCAATAGTTTCATCTTCATTTAAATAAATATTTATGAAACTAGAACAGGATCGAATTCATATCAGCTTAATATACATATGAAGAACTCCAAATTGTTTAACCAAATTCAAGCAATCAAGTGATATTTCTGAATGCACAAAAATAATTGCTAAATGCATCAAATTGACGTTTTGAAATAACACTAATATGTTTGATCTTGAGGGATTTCAGTTCCTACTTGAGTTTTATAAGACAAATCCACAAATAACAATAAATGTGTCAGTAGAGTAATATTTACAATTTTAGATTGTTTTGCTTCCTTTAATATCAGATTGATTGTACTTTGTGATGTAACTAAATTGTGTAAAGGATTTATTACATATTTATCAAATAATAAATTATTTAGTTTTCTTTAATTCTTTTATTGTTTATGTTCAGATACAGTATATATCTCCCCCCATTTAGAGATAGAATACTTTCAGAATTGTTAATTTTTTATTTCACCCTTCAAATTAGTCAGTATCTTATGTTGACACACATCTGTGATTTGTTGATATAATTATTCATTAAAAATTAAATATAGCATCAGTGCTTTCAAATCTAGTGAAATATTTATTTTAAATTTCTGGACAAAATTTAAAATTGAGCTTTTGTAATGTGAGACAAAGATTGTAAAGTTTACTTTTTAAAAACTGAATGCAAATTCAGATACACTTATGAATAATGGAAATTTATACAAACAGCATTGAAAAGGGATCACAGAGGCCATTTATCCCATATTCCCTTACTCAGAATCCCCTCTACAATGTCCCTAACAAGTGTTCATCTAACTGCTACTTGGAAGACCTCTATTAAGAAGGACCCACATCTTCTGAGTTAGTCCATCTTCCTTTCAGACAATGCTACTTATTAGAGTGATCTTAACAACTTCTACTCATTGTTTCTAGATCTGCTGTCTTAGACCAAGCAAAATAACCCTAATCCTAAAATTCAGCAGCTAGAAATGAACAAGTATTTACTGAACGTGTGCTGTGTGCTCAGCACTGTTAATTGTTGGGGAAGGATGAGGGCTTTGAAGGAAAAAATACAAGGTACAATCTCTGCCAAATATAAACAAGACATATATGTGAAACAGATACATTTTATATTTATTATTGATAAGCTATTTGTTGAATGTCTCTAATGTGCATCGTTTTAGGTTGAGTTTTAACTTAGTTTTATGTAATATATTTTGGTTGGCACAGAATCTATTCAAATATATCTTTTTTATTCTTGAAGTGCTTAATATAGTATTCATAAGAAAATCTACCCATGTTTTCCACATACTGTGGGTATGGGTTTTATTAATAGCACTTTCCGTGTGTTTACTCTAGCATATAGAATTATACATATCATGTTTTTTTGGAACTAGAACTCAAATAATTACTAATTGGTAGAAATAAGTAGTACAGCGTAAGGTTATAACATTGTCCCAGTATCACTGGTTCTTAAATGTTGTATTTTATGAGTTTTTTGAAACAGGGAATACCTGTATGAAACTAAAATGTTAGCAAATGAAGCCAACCTCAGAATGTTTTTTCTCTTGATGAAATAAAATATCATTGAACAATCAGCTCACTCACCCCCAGCTCCACCACATTAATTCATTCAACAAACAATGCAGTTGATTCTTAGATGAAAAAATTCATTATGTAGTATAATTTAAGTAAAAACAAATCTTGGTGGATTGTATGCCATGTAAATGTTACCAGTTTTATTCTTTAGTTTTATACGCTGGACTTTAAATCTTAGGCTTATTCTTATAATGCAAAATATATTTATTTGTGTATTTGGAATTGAATGGAGTTTTTTTTTTCTTAATTTAAGATTTAAAGAAAATGTTTAAAGTAATTCCAGCAACAAGAACCTCTTAAAGTATAGAATGGTATACTGCTTAATATAAATGAGGCCTTCCATGCTTGTCATTTTACACTGATAGTATCATAAGACAAGTAATGACAGATTAAGACCTGCCTAGTAGAGAGAAAACTATATTACAAGACTTTTATTAAGGCATAAATAAACCTATTAACCGTTATCAGGAATACCAATTAGTAGAAGAAGCACTGACAATTTTATTTATCAACATTAAACACAATTATTAATTACAGACCTGACGAATCTAGCAGTAAGCAGGACATGTTGGGTGTGCTGGGGCCTTAAGTCCATTATATGAGAAGGATGATTACCAAAATCCTGTGGGGAAATAAGTAATTGTAGTTGTAAAATTTTAATTGCCTTTGAATAAGGCAAATTATATCCTCTTGTCTCAGAATATAAATAGTATGGCATTAAAGTACTCAGCTATACTAGTTGGAAACAGGAAATAGTTTAAGGTGTTATGATTTAAAAGCTAATAGTGGTAAAATTTCTCTGTTGTAAATATTGTAGATAAATGACATTTTTTAAAGTATAAGAAATTTTCTTTATGTATTTCTTATATAATACCTTAGCTATTTTCACCATCCTATTAAAATGGGTAATTCCCAACCTTTAAATTAATTGAAGGGATATTACAAAGTAAGAAGGAGATAAATTTTTGGACGAATGACTGTGGGTGATTTTACAGAAGTAATTGGAATATTTTTCATTTAAGAAAATTTAATTCATTGTATTTTGAACTACATTACTGTAAAATAAGTAGGAGATAAATACAATAGTTTTAATGTTTTTACCTCTTTTATTCCCCCCAAGATCCAAATTCTGTGCTTTGTGGACATTTACTTATAAGTGCAGCAAGGAATTCGTTTGCAAAACTCATGGATAAAATTAGCTTGGCAATGGAGAATGTAACACTGGGCAGTAGTAGAAGTTTTACATATATGGAAAAGGATTCCCTGGTTCAGAGGTTGGCCCGAGGACTTCATAAAGTTAACACAGAAGCCTTGAAGTATGGTCTAAGTGGCCCTGTGCCCATTATGGTAGGTATTTAACTTGTGATTTAAATAAAGAATATTTTCACAATATAATGGAGATTATACTGTTTTTAGTCAGCTAGTACTTGTAAATTGAATTTTGAATCAGAATTGTCCAGCAAATATTCTTTGCATCGAGAGGCATCGTGACATAATGGATAGCTCTTTAGCTGGTCTTAGAGCCAGGAAGATCATTCTTTCCATCGTCAAGTGATTATGGAACCCAATTCAATTTGGATCTCACAATTTCAGGCCATTCTCTCCAATACTGGATATTCTCTGTCACATACTCAGACACACTGTGAGTTGGAGTTTGTTCCTCTTCAGCATTTCCAGCCCTTCCCACTACTGCCATTATTCAGCTACTACTCTTCCTTTGTGATTCATATTAACCATTTATACCATCCAGTCTAGATGTAAAGTGCTTAGCATAGAGCTTGGCACATAGCTATTATTATGATTGTGATTATTATCCTGGTATCTGGTCAGCGGTTATTTTGTCTCCTTTCTGAGAGCCCATTACCAGGCTCATAGTTTTCTTCTACATCCTAACTTCTAACATCATGATTAAGGACTTTGGTTTTTTCCATCCCTTGCCTTCCATACCCTCACAGATTGGCTTTCCAGTTCCTTCATCTTTTCTGCTCTCATGTGTGATTTCTTATTGCACCACCAGGGGTTGGCTAACTGCACCCCATGGGCCAAATTGGGCCTGTTGCTTCCTTTTACCATCTTGGGAACTAAGAGGTTTTTTTTTTTTTAAAGTAAAGTTTTGTTGTATTCCAGAAATGTAAAAAACATTCTTAGCTTGCTGGTTGTGCAAAAAAAACAAAACAAAACAAAAAAACCCTCAGAAATTGCTGTATTTGGCCAGCTGGCTTAGTTTGCTGACCCTTAAATAGGTATGATAATCCCTAATATTGACAACTTCTAGAAGTACTATCCCTCAGTGATTGTGAGCTCTGAAATGTCTGTCTTGTCGTTACCTCTTCTTCTTAAATCTTTCCCTCTGTTTTATTCCTCTCAAAGCTTTTGTTCATTCTTATTATGACTTAGCTGAGGCAACCATGGCCTAGTAGACAGAAAGCTGGCCTCAAAACATGGAAGACCTAGGTTCAAGTGCCACCTCTGACATGTAATTAACCTCTCAGTGATCAAGGCAACTTCCTTAGAATAGAAGTTGAAGAGAAAATGCTGACCTGCATTGGTAGAGGGAGTTTTCTCATAGAAGAGTTCCCTGTGCCCTATCCTTATTTTTGCATTTGACATAGTTTTAGTTTGTTGTATATGAATACATTCAGATTTTCATAATTTACTTATATAATTGTTTTATTCTAGAGAGTAAATTAATATATTTATTAATAAGTATCTAGAGGATAAGAATATAAGAATTTGTTATTAATGCTCACAATTTGTAACTGTATTCAAATAGCATTATAGTAGAGACAGGGATATTTCAAATTTTCTTGACATTATTAAGGTTAGGTTTTCTTTTTGCTGTTTCTTGTTATATTTTACAGAAATAATAGTTCAGATAAAACAATTCATCTTTTCAAATTATGTAAATGTGTCTTTAGATTTGATAGCAGTTGGTATGATTTTCTTCTCTTAGAATGTATTGTATAACTAAAGTCTTTTTAGATATCAAATTCTATTTATTTAATAGTAAAGTAGGCAATTTAATAAAGTCTAAAATTGTCTCCATTTGCCAACAGAAAAGTGTAGAATGTTTGCAAAAGCAAATATATGAATTTACCCAAAGATTGCATACAGCAGAAGTAGAACGCCGTTCACTCCGCTTAGAGGTTACAGAATTTAAAAAGAATGTCCATGATATGAAAAAAGAGATTGACAAAGCCCAGGTCCTCCAAATGCAATTAAAAGAATTTAAGCAGTCTGTAAGTATATTCAATTTAGAAAGGCTGGCTTGGAGATGCCTTTCGTGTGTGTGTGTGTGTGTGTGTGTGTGTGTGTGTGTGTGTGTGTGTG